TAGCGATGCACCTGTTACTACTAGCGATGCACCTGTTACTACTAGCGATGCACCTGTTACTACTAGCGATGCACCTGTTACTACTAGCGATGCACCTGTTACTACTAGCGATGCACCTGTTACTACTAGCTTGCAGCTTTTGTTTTGAACGCAAAAAGTTGCTTCGCAACATCACGACTCTGTCCGAGGAACTCCTCGGGGGTCCACAGCCAATCGAGAAAGGCCTCGAAGGGAGGAAAGGGAGGGCGAAGCTTCGTCACAAATGAACACATATAATGTCCATCATGATGACTTTGAACACGAAAAAACACAGAAGACAAGATATGAAACAAACCAAATAGATGCGCTGCTTTCATTTGCACGTAAGTGCACTGCAACGAAGTGCCCAAATCGACCTTCTGAGCGTCCAGCGGAAGCGCGAAGAGGAAAGAAGACCGTCGCCAGGAGTCGCATCCAGCAGACGTAGCCCGTCGCTCTCCATGGCGGATGCATCGGGTGTTTTGTCAAGACCTCTCTGAGAACGGTTTTGCACATGTTTTTGACAAAACAGGATTGAAGAACAGAGTTTCAAAAACAGGTTGAGGTTGCCTGGGATGCATATGTGTATATGTTGTATACAAAGTATATGATATGTGTATCTGTATATGCGTATAATGTAGCAACTTCGTTTTCATTATTTATTTTTGTCAAATGTGTTTGTTTTAAAATTATTTTAAAGCCCCTACTCAATTATGTAGGCGCCTACGGTCACTTAGTGTCTTGGGGGCGCTTCGAAGGCTTGGCGGCCACTTGCACTGATTGCTTTATTTGGATTCAGATGGCTTCCGGAATGGCTATGAGGAGATCGGACGCTATTAGGGGCTCCTGGCCTTACTACTAGGAACAAGAAGCTACTAGGAACAAAGGGCATCGCTACTAGGAGCAAGGACGCTACTAGGTTGGAGGCCATTGCTATTTGATGGCTTCCGGAAAAAGAGCATCGCTTCATAATGGTGATGTCTGCATGCCTCAATGCCAGGGCCTTAGCAAGCCTTCATGTCGTTTCTGTCTCACAAACATTTGCCCTTTTTCCAACTCCAAGTGAAACTTCGACTGATCCGCTCAACTACCTCACTATTCACAAGTAGAACCTTCCACCCTTTGCCATTGCCCTTCATCTTTCATTGTTCAATCGCTAAGTTGGTCTGGGAAGTCCCAGCCTCGGTGCATGCAGTGTTTGCACACATAACATAGAGAAGCACAAATAGGTGGGCGTGGGCCTCTGTTCACCTTCGTCTTTACTAGGAACAAGGACATCGACACTAGTAACCAAGGGTACGACTACTAGTAGCAAATAGCTACTCGCAACCAGGACGGTACTAGTCACAAAGGGCATCGCTACTAGGTGCAAGGACGCTACTAGTGGTTCTTTTGTCGTCATCTTGGCTTGGTGGCGCATACGACATGCGAACGGACATGCGACATGAACCTCTCGGATTCCATGCAATGCTGCGCATCATTTCACGTTCGCGGATGAACTGCTCCACTTGCATTCGTTGCATCTGCCTTGCTCCGACTTTGTGTCCGTGTTCCGGTCTCGTTCCCACAAGGACGCTACGTTTGGGGCTCCTGGCCTTACTACTAGGAACAAGTGCATCGCTACTAGGAACAAGTGCATCGCTTCTAGTAACAAGTGCCTTACTAGTAGTAACAATGCTTGCTACTAGGAACAAAGGGCATCGCTACTAGGGGCTCCTGGCATCGCTACGAACGGAACAAGAAAGCTACGAACGTAACAAGAAGGCTAGTCGGTTTCGCAAAAGCAAAGTGAAGAAACTGTAGCCCTAAGGTTTCAACGAGACTTGCTGAAGACCCACCAGCGCTGAAGCAATGCGGTTGCTGCCCGGCCTGCGCAATTGCCCTACGGAGCCATCAGACCTACTAGTAGTAACAATAAGCTACTAGGAACAAGTGCATCGCTACTAGGAGCAAAGGGCATCGTTACTAGGAGCAAAGGGCATCGTTAC